TGTCTGCACAGGTAACATTTATATTTGGAAATATATAAATGCAACAGATAATAAAATGAAATTTCTGAGGAGCTGCAGCTGCTTTATTGATTTATTTATAATAAAACTAACTGTTAAACTATTTGTTAATGAACTTGTCCATTGTAATGTCACCTTTTACAGGTATTAATATAGAAATACACTTGATGTGGCTCTTGAAATCTAGATTTATGATCATTTTATCGATATAAAATGATATAAAAGAATCCATGAATAATGTAGCAGTTGGAGTGAAATATTATTAGCTAGACGTATAGCTATGATAGATACATTTTACTCTACATTTTACTTTATATGTGACTGAAATTCATTTTTAACAGGGCTCCATGTCAAAAATGCATTCAAGGTAAAAGAAAAATAAACAAATGCATAACAAGCACTAATTAGATGTTCGTACAAAATAACCGAGTTAAACCAGTCTGAAAAACGGGATTTTTAACTCTTCAGCCTTGTTTGATGAGGTTATTGCAGGAATTATTTGACCTGCTCTGGTGCGGTTCCGAGCGGACCAGTTAGGCTCCAAGAGCAGGAAGTGGACTGCAGCACAGGGCATTCTGGGTAAATGCAGCCCTAACAACCCAGCATGTCTACAGTTAGCAGGAGAAAGGATTTATGTTTTTATTAAACAAAAGAGAAATCCTGCAGCCACTAAAATCTGGCGTGACTCCATTTTTGTTTGGTTTTGTGAAGAAGGAAGTTGCTCTCAGTGTCTTTTGGTTTCCTTCAGTTGTTCTTGGTGCAGCGCCCCCACAGGCGAGAAGGGGAACAGGTTGCTCAAAGTGCTGCAGAGTTGTGACAAATGTCATTTTAAGTGAACCAAATGGCCTATCAGAAGGTATGAGAATAACCCTGTGGGCCTCAGTTACACATGTACCCTGGAGCCGTCTCAGGTGTAAAGAGTAAAACTCTTTGTAGGAATGAACAAACCGATTCGGGTCCGTTTAGAAGCGCCATGATTTGTGAGTTCATAAATCTGCTGAGATAAAGCTGCTGTTGTCTGCTTTCCCCATCTAAGAAGAATAAACTTGTACAAATTAATCCCGGCTCTGTTTCCGATTAGCCAGAGAACAAAAGTAACGACCCGGCAACAAGCCACCAGAGACATCAGTTTGGGATTATAACTCATGTTGGTTCGCTTCTCCTTCACATGGGAGAGAACACATCGAAGCACAAACACAATACCAATAAAAACTTGACTTGCTGGAGAGCTGAGTCACAGTTATTAGAGAAACAAGTGTTTCCTATAACAAACCTCCATGAGTGTGTTTGGGTTCTGCAGCAGGGGAAATGTATTGTCCTAAAATGGGAGCCACACGGTTGCTCTGTCTTTGTGAAACACAGCCTGAGTTAATCTGCTTCTCTATGGGAGATTATCATCCACATAAATACGACCTAATAAGCGTCATGCTAACACTAAACATGTGTCTGTGACTACAAAGAGATTTTGCAAACTAGATATTTCAAACTTGATTTTGATTTTCTCCTCTGGCCAACAAATACAAAAAAGGCAAAGAGAGTTCTGGTTCATTTGGTTCACTATACATCAATCAAGAAATCAATTTTCCCAGAACTTTATGAGATGAGAGACTGTAAAGCAGGGGTGTTCAAAGTGTGGCCTGGGGGCCTTTTATGGTCCTCGGACTGATTTTGTTCGGCCCCTCGCTGCAATTCAAAAGTGATAGAAGTTTGGCTCATGGATGCAAATGGAGACTTTCAATTTGTAATCAGGATAACAATTGTTATCAATAACTACTGAAAAGCTAAGTTTGCTGCAGCCAAATCAGCTCTTATAGTTTCTTGGCTAAATATAGAAAACATTTGATAGAAAGTGACTAAAAACCAGTTCTGAAAATATATTTAATCAGTCAAAAGAAACTGAAAACTAGACGTCCTTCTTTTAATAAAGCAACATGCAAAATTAAAGTAGCAGTAAGCAATACCATTTGCACAAAAAAAATTTAGAATATAAGAACTTCTCTACAAAATAAACGTGAAAAATTTAACATTTCAAATGTCGACTGAAAATGTTGAAGTTTTCACTCGAGTTCTGTTGTGGTTTATTTTAAAAAAATCAACTACGCAACACCACAGGACCTCAGGTTAGTAAAACTTTGACAAAAAGCAGAAGAAAATCTCTTGTTAGAGAAAAATAAGAGGCTTCATCTGAGGATAATAACACATTTAGGTACATTCAGTTACATTTACTTCACTGACCTTTTGAAAAAATGTACTGTTTTCCTACGCTGTGCTTTTTTCCCCTGAGTAACTGTATTGTAAAGTATCTCTACTTTTAACCAAAACACCTGCAAATGTATAAACTTTTATACATTTATTGTGAAAGAAACTGAATTGGAAAAAGTTTCTTAATTTTGTTTATAATATGAATTCTTTTCATTTTTGTCTTTAAAACAAAAGATTTCCACTTAACCTTATAATTTGGTCAGTCTGTTGATGTTTTTAAATATGAAATGACTGATAATTTACTCAGTTACTTGATAACTTAGACTTTTTTACTTTTACTTGAGTAATTTTGTTTGTGCTCTACCACCTCTGGAGACGGAAAATTAAAAAACTAAAGCAGTGAAATCTGGGAGTTGCTTCTTTTATCCCAGATGTGTCCAATCCCAGAAGATATCTTCAGAACCTACAATATGTCGATGATAATGATAAATACTTCAAATGACACGCCTTATAATGTGGATAAAGTTCAAACACTCGATGCACGTCTGAACTTTTAAAGGAATTGCTGTAAAAACCAAAAACATGCTGCAGTCTCATCTTCTGCTTTGTGTCTCACAGTGTCTTGTTTTGGTTTGATGGGAAAGTCAAAACCAGCTGCCACGTTTAATTTTAATCCGTCTGGGGTTCATAATTAATTAAATCCAGAGTTGAATCCAAAGCCAGGTGCTGTCACTTCAATACTTCTGTCGCTGAAGACGCCGAGCGCACATTGTTTTTTCTCCTCCCTTTTTTTACAGCCTAAACTGGGTTTGACAGCATTTACACAACAAGAGGCTTTCAAAATATTTGCAGTCGGAGCCTCCACCACAGAGAACAAGATCAAAGCGGATCCGAGAGAAACAGCATGCAGGCGTCAGACCTGAAAGAAACCTCGGATGGTTTGCTCCTTAATGTAGCAGAACAGGTAGCGAGGTGCAAACTGAGCACGTTTTTGGTGTTTCACGCATTTTTTGGGGGGTAGAGTGGGTGGGAACGAGGGAATCCCTTTCCCTGCTTGCATTTTGTAGGCTGTTCTGCCATCATGGAACCACAAATGGGAACAGTCTGGACAGATGTTGGTTCCAGATGACGCTCCGGAGAAGAATGCAGCGGTTGAAAAGGAGCGTGATGCTGCTAGCCTGGATGTTCACAGATGGATGTGCAGCCTGCAGTTACTCTGCAGGAGAGTATTAGCAGCTTAAAAGCTGAATGCTGGATGTCAACTTTTTAAACCCTGAATACGTTTGTTTTACTTCAGGGAGTCCAAAGTGCGGCTTGCAGGCCATTTGCGGCCCTGAGAATTATTCTGGGCGGCCATTATCGCAATTCAAGTTGAGTCCTGAAGAAACTGATTGGAAGTGAGACTATTTTTCACAATATTTATGTTTGTGGTTCTATGAAAGCTGTGCCATACAGTTACCTAAAAATCAATAATAAAAATGTGTCTTATCTTAAGCTTTATTGTGTGCTAATTGCTACTGGCTAGTCTGAAGGAATTGTGGGGGGAGGGAAGCAACATAAATCCTAACTTCCTTCTTTACGGAATGAAAGCAAAAATGAAGTGGTGGCTGATTTAAATTAGGATTTCTCTTTTATCTGTAGCTAAAGACCAGGAGCCATTTCCCCCACTACTAGCCTAGTGGGTTTGTTGTGGTAGTATTTACCCAGAATGCCTTGGACTTTAGTCGACTTCCTGCTCTGGCATTCACATATGCATTCAAACCACCTCAGAGTTCACTTCAACCAAACTGAGACCAAGTTTTTTAGATGGACCATAGTTTTCTTTTTTCACCCGATTACGCATTCACACTTCTTTATATGGACTTTCTGAGGAAACGGACTGGAGTTGTTTGAAAGCAAACCAATCAGGGCTGGTGTAAAAGCAGTCTAAGATTATATGTACACCTACATACTTTTGGTGAATTAATATTTAGTTTGGAGAATATGAAATACCGTGGGGGAGGGGGACAAAGTTCAACTGCAGAGGGGCAGTGGCCCCCCCTTTGCTCCTGTGTAGATCCGCCCCTGGATGAATGTTGAGCTGAGACCAGTAACGACTTTCTGAATGGCAGGAGTCACAAATTTCTTAAAGCAGTGTCTAAACAACCGTAAAAGTTCAAAACAAATGATTAAAAATCAGAAACTAAATGTTTATCTCCAGGCATTAACTCGACATGATCATCTCTAACAGAAGCCCAAACTGCAGTTTTCTGGTGTTTATTGGGAAGAGATGTTAGCTTGAAGAGGTTTTTATGAGTTGGCTTTAAAAAGACAAAGGTTATTAGATTCTTCAGTTCTTTTTATTATCTTTATATTCGCCTGTGATGTTCACAGGGCAGCAGTAATAAAGACCAGCTGGACCAAACCTTTTATAGGGAGGGAGCTGCTGTTACATAGAGCATTTGCGTGGCTGGACTACATAATAGCCACTCGATGCTAAAGTTACTAAACTTTATAACTTTGGTTTTATAATACCAGACGACCAAATATGACCTTTAAAAGGTTAGATGAGATCTGTTTCGTGTGATGCCAGGAGAGGATATCTATAACATTACAGCGCTGAGCTGGAGGAGGCTGGAATGTTTTTAAAAGGTCCAATTCCCCCCAACTTGGCATTATTAATGGCACGACTGCATCAAAACACAGATGTCGGCAGTTCACTAAACAAAGATGCACAAACAAGTTGCGTGTTTTGCTCATTTTAGCGCAGCTGCTAACACTGTGGGATCTTTCGCTCTCACCTATGGGACATTTTTTCTTCATCCTGCACCTTTGTGTTTCACGTTGGGGCGGACAGACCGACGCTTTTTCAGTCGCTTTCCCGCTCTGGCTGCTCTCCCGGACCCGGGTCTGCTTTCCCCATCTGAAACCACAGGTGGCGCCGTCACGGACGCAGACGCTCCACTCGCTCCACTCTCCCAGCGGAGGCAGGGGACAGACCTCTAGACAAAACAAATAATGCAAAACAGAAAAGACGTGAAAGAAAAAGTGGTAATAATGTATTAAAAAACGCTTGGGAAGCGGGGAGAACTCTGGAGAATTTCAATTAAAACAAAGCGCACGCTTTTCAGTTCTTTAGTTTTTTATCTCAGGACATCAGTCATGGGCAAATTTTCGCGTTAGCAAAGTTCAGCCAATCTTCGCTTCCCCTAAATCATTTTAAAATTCTAAAGTGAAAATCTATTCGGGCCACTCTAAGTAGAAAAAGAAAGGACGAGTAAATTTCCACCAAAAAAATTAGAAATTTTGAGATTGATCTAAAAAATATTCAGGAAAAAAAACTCCCAAAGCTCCAAAAGTGAAAAATTTGCAAGAAAAATCTCAGAAACTTAAAGACTGATCAAGAAAAAACTTGGAAGTTTTTGGGGTTTTTTTGGGCTGTCAACATTACATAATTCATGCGATTAACCTGAACATTTTAACACATTGATATTACACACTGCATGTTAATCAAACTACTATTTGATCTGAAAGCCTCTTTCCTGGAGGATTGTCTAGTTCACAGCTGCATTATATGGACCTAGTGATTAATCGTGATTAATCACTAGTACATTTTTAATTGAAAGCACTAATTTTTATGCAAACTTTCCTTTAAATGTGTTTTTTAAAGTCAGAATCATGTAATCAAATCCATTATGTATAGACCCATAATATATTTACATGAAGCAGTTGAAAAAAATGGCATTAAATATGGACAAAAACATAAAAACAAGCTTGGATATATAAATGTTGAAGATCGCTTATTACAGAGAGCGAATGTGACAGCAAAGATAAAATAAACTGCAACTATAACTCAGCATTGGACTAATGCATAAAGATTTCCCTGGATTTCTGGCAGCAACTGTGCAATTATTTAAGGTAGATGAAAGCCAGCTGAACATTAGCTGGTTACTCAGGAAGAGGGATGTCATGCAGCCTGCAAGGCCATGAAAAACTCTGCAGCTTCAGCCAAACGGCGCCCACGTATCTTTATGATCGTCATCACAGCCGTCAGATTTGAAAGCACAGGCTTTGTTAAGGTGTGTACCAACAGTTGGACGTAAAACCCCAACAGCACCATTAATACCAGATGTTGCCTGACTGCCAGAAAAGAACCGTAGCTGCAGATGTTGCAGGTGGATGGCGGAGGAGAAACGAAAAGCATCAAATGATGACCGAGTTCAATCATATATCTCACTTACGGAGAAGAGAGGAATGAAGCCCCAAACCACTCTGAAGGCTTTTAATGCGTATCGTGTGTTATGTTGAGAACCTGGCCCCATCCAAACGGATTTAACTCAGATAAAAATACAAACGAGTGTTTCCAGGTGACATTGGGAGGCTAAAAACTAAATCAAACGCATGTTAAACAGATCCCAATAGGCTGTCATTTAAAGGGATTATGAGTCATTAGGACCCGATAAGATCAACATGAAACCTGCAGGTGAAGTCACACAGGCTGTTTAAGGTGGAATAAAAACGGCTGAACACTCTGAGTTCTCAGCAAAAGGAGTCTGCTGTTAATTATGCTACCAGCTTTAGTTTCACTGATGTCTCTGTTGGAGAGGGGAATCTTTTTAAAGGTGGCATAGATTAGGTCAGAGCCTGCAGTAACCTCATGATTTTTTATGTTAGCAATGCAGATATGGGTCTGTCGTTTTCTGCAATCCTTATGCAACAATAAGACTGGTTATTTCTGATATATTCCTTTTTCTTTTTCTTTCTTTTTGTTTAGAATTTTGCTATTTTTTTTTGTAAAGTGTTGCATATTTGTCTGGTTTTTCCCAGGATTTTGCTTGTATGTTTTTACTTTATGATAGTTGTAACCACGTTATCAAGGTATCATTTTTATTTTTACAGCTGGGAGCGGCTGATTAGCATCTCAAAAGCTGAAACAATATCAGAGCCATTATTGGTGTGAGTTTACACTCACATGTGAACTACGACTACGATTAATATCACAGTCTAGTGCTGTGATGAATCAGAGCGCTAATGATTAATCACAGATTAATCACGATTGGTGTGATTAATCGTGTTATTCATATCATTATTGGATATCACTGGGATTAATAGCACACTGATGTTATTAATCTTATCTGATCATCACTGAATAGTGATATTCATATCATTGTTAGACATCTTGATTATTTGTACATGTCTTAGCAAACTAAATCAAAAAGAAAAATGCATTTGGTCATTCTTCTTCCTAAGGCAACAAGATCTGAATCTTGATATGTTTTTAGAGGAAATTAACCTGGCTTGGAATTCCTGCTGCTTAACAAAGAAATACATCAGTTATCTGTAAATATCTCCAAATATTGCAGTTTTTTACTTACCGAGGCAGTCTGTCTGATGAGCGAAGGTTCCCTCTGGGCAGTGGATCAAACACTTGCCTTTGTGCAGCTTGAAGCCAGGCTTACACTTGGTGCAGAAGTCCCGACTGAAACAAAGCTCGCAGTCCAGCGAGCGGCATTCTGGGAGAAAACAGAGCGCCAGATAAACATCACACACTGAAAATCTGAGTTTTACCTGCAACCTGCAGCTCCAGAGGCAGGTTGTGGCTGTTTAAGATTATTTTTAGTTAGAAGAATTTACAATTTTGATTCAGCTTACAAGAACTAAATATCTGATCATAAATTTCAATAAACATCACAATCAAACTTTTGTTTTGAACAGCGCTTAAATAATGAGGGAAGGCAACTGTTGCTTTAAAACTAATATTTGCTTTAATAAAACTCGCAACATAAGACACAATAACCTGCCGCTAAGCACCCTGGGAAATATTTCCTAATCCCGCTTTTTTCGTTTTTAATTTTTTTAAGTGCCAACTTAAAGACCCTTGTTTACTTTTACAGATATGACAATCTTAATAATGTTAGCACAACTTACTACTGCAAGTTTATCTTTCACAAACTCACACATTTAAAATGATCAAGATTTCTATTACTTGAAGTTAGTAGAACAATTAAAATATTCCAGGAAACCCAAACTATAAGAGAGATGAAATGTCATAGTCTTTGTCCAGGATACATTTAAATTGTAAATCTTTTTTTCTTACTTCCCTACATTTTGTTGTGTTTATTAAAATGCCACATAGCCTCTGTTGCTCTCCACACCAAAAACTAATTTACAAGATAAATGCAGTAACTTTGCATGGAAACTCATGCTGAGATATTGAAGGTCTGTTAAAGTGAAACCTGGAGACATTGGTACGATTCATTTAGTGCAATGGGAAACATCACTAAACATTACTGCGGGGAAAAAAGCTGACCAAAAATGCTGGAACTCAGTTTGGGTTGCTAGGTAACAGGCAGAACTCTGCTGGGGTTGCTAGGTAACAGGCGGAACTCTGCTGGGGTTGCTAGGTGACAGGCGGAACTCTGCTGGGGTTGCTAGTGACAGGCGGAACTCTGCTGGGGTTGCTAGGTGACGGGGAAGCAGGGTTTGTTGGGTTATTACAGGAGTATTTGGTTCATTTGGTGATTACCTAAAGAAATAAACGCAGATCGGCACATTTTATTTAAAGGTGGTTTCTGTCCAAATATAACGACTTTTGGGCCAGTAAACATAACGTGATACTCATGCTAAAGTGTTGCGCCACCATGGTATTTAGCAGCAGTTACTGCTAAAATGCCGACCTCAAATCCAACTACATCCTCCCTTTTAAGACTTTTACGTGTCATGTTTAGATCTTCTTCTCTACATTCCAAAGTCTTTTCTGTCCTTGTATGTTTTTTGTTTTAAATAAAATTATTGGAAAAAAGAGGGAGAACTTAAGGAGAGGAAGCAGAACTGCTGCGTCAAATAACAGAATGAATATAAACGGCTAATCAAATTATAACAGTCGATAGCCAAAAGTTGAAAACAAATGCAACACTTTATTAAACTAAAAAAAATAAGTGAATCAAAGCCTTAGAATTGATCTGGAAAATGTTATTTAGAGGAAGCTAAGTGTGCTAAACATTTTCAGTCATTTGTAGACTACACAAAAAATTTCCTTTACAAATTAGCTTTACCGATGTCCTATCGGCCTTTATTTCACCACTAAGTGGATTTAATCAATCAAGTTTCAATCCATGAAGTTTATTTGTACAGCACATTTCAGCAACAATGCAGTTCAAAGTGCTTTACATGATAAACATTTAAACTCAAACTTAATGCTTTAAAAAATCTTTTCAAAGGGAACTGGATGGAAGATTTAAACAAGTGGAGCAGTTAGGAAATACTTTCATCAATTTGAAATGATGAAAGTATTCTGCTCAGGGACAACTTAATAAACTGAATACCAAAGAAAAACTTTAAAAGATTAATTGAACTAATGATCAAGACAGTCAGGCTGATTGAAGGTAAAAGCCGTCCCGAAAACAAGTCTTTTCAGGTCTTATCTTTATAAATGAATGTGTTTCTCTATAACACATTTATACGTACTCATGCAGCGGTTCACATCCCTCCCTCTTTGCCCAAAGTGTCCGGTTGGACAGGAATGGAGACACGTCCCATGATGAGACATCCCTTTCCTCTGGAGAAACAGGAAGAGCCGCTCTGGGCAGCGTACACAGCCGTTGTCCCGCGAACACTCCAGACAACTCTGACAGTCTTCTGACGTCTCTCTGTGAGCTGCAGGAAGCACATTAAGACAGATCCGGATTATTCGAGGAAATATTAAAACAAAAATAAGACGAGGGCAAGAAAGGAAAGCAGGTGGGGAAGGAAGGCTCCATAAATCCTCAAGATGCAGAAGATCAGCATCTTGGCTCTGGGCTGCATGGAAATCCTGGACAGAGCTGTCTGAAATACTAAACTGGACAGAGCTGTCTGAAATACTAAACTGGACAGAGCTGTCTGAAATACTAAACTGGACAGAGCTGTCTGAAATACTAAACTGGACAGAGCTGTTTGAAATACTAAACTGGACAGAGCTGTCTGAAATACTAAACTGGACAGAGCTGTCTGAAATACTAAACTGGACAGAGCTGTTTGAAATACTAACTGGACAGAGCTGTCTGAAATACTAAACTGGACAGAGCTGTCTGAAATACTAAACTGGACAGAGCTGTCTGAAATACATTGAAAGGTTTCCACATGTACTGGAAGTGAAACTCCTCTGCACCTCGAATTCACTCCATGCACTCTAGAAGGTGACCGTTATGCTTCCTTCAACATGTTAGAAAATGTTTACTGGCCATATAAAACATGTTCATTACAGTTTTTCCACTAAATAATTTTTAGATATTAATATTTTTATGTGTTCAAAGTCCTGGGACTCAGATTTGGTTGCCAGGTAACAGGACTCAACGCTTTCTGGTTTGTGACTTTACATTCTGGACGTTTTTTGAAATGTCTAATTTTCCATAAACTAAAGACTATAAACTTAATTCCAAAAGCCAGCTGGGTGTTTTTTATTTTTTTTAAGCGCTTGGTCTGCTCTTAAAAGCAGCAGAAATCCAAATGAAGGCACAGAAACGTGCAGAGTGAGACTGGATAATAAAAATAAAATATAAATAATGTTAATGCACAGAATACGAGTCAAACCACTGAGCAGGGATGTCACTTATTGGACGTCTGCAGTTCTTGAACAACTGAAGGGACCAACTTCAGTTTTGGTTTATTAAGTTTATATTAAAGAAACAATGTACAAAACAACATTAATAAAAGTTACTTTGCACCAGATTAAGCTCAAGCTAGTTTCCATCTGTGGTTCCTTCGAAGCAGGAAGTGATGAATGATGTTTTTTACAATAAAAAGTTGATAAAGCATCAGCAGAGTTCCTGAATTAGGAGATTGAATTGTTTTTGTTTAAGTCCGTACGCCAGGATTCATAAATGTTTTGTTTTTCAGTTTCATTTTTTTCAATCAAATGACCACCTTGTTTTAACACTAACAGTTAAAACACAACTGATGTGTTAAAATAATTTGACACAATAACTGTGTAAATGAGCATGATGATGGTGCTAAATAATTTTAACATATTTAACGTGTTGAATTATTAATAATTAAATTATTGATACAGTAAACGTGTCAAATGAACACAAAATGTGTCGGCCTCATTTAGACACTATTTTGTTGAGTTTGGAATCAATTTGTGTCGAATCAATAAATAAATCTGGCAATATTTCAAAAAGGTGAGGTTAATATTTACAAACAAAGAAGGTTTTTCTTCTTAAATGCAAAATGTATGTATTTTTTTTGTTGGAGTTTTTGGCTTAATTACTGCTCTGTGTTTTTTTTTTTTTTTTGTCTTTTTGTGTCTGTAATCCAGTTAACTATGAATCGATTAGTAAATTATTTTCAATAATCATGATTAATCTGATGATCACTCTGCCATAGAGCTATGTGTTTTTGAGCAGGAAGTGAACTCACGTGGAAGGAGGAGGCTTCCTGCTGCCTCCTCACGGTAAACCTCCAGATGCTCGCTGATGAGTCGGGCGAAAGATTTCCACTAACACTTTCCACCCAGTCTGACTCAGCTGTTTTACAAACCAATAAGTGCAAAGCTGAAAACACAGAAAATGCTTCATGTCTATAAATGTAAGAACAAATGTTGGATTAAACAGTGGAATAAATTGAGATTCCAGGACAGAAATCACACTGGAAACACCAGTGATGTTGTTTAAGGTCTATTTTTTTTTGCAAACATACTGGGTGTGCTTTACATCTCACGGAGAGTCCATTCCATTTGGGTCTCTACTGCTTCTAAAGACAGACTATGCAGTTAAAAAAAACAAAACACCCAGCTGGTTTTAGGCCATAACTTTTTTGGTCCAGTAATCTCTGGGTTGTTGAGTCACATTCAACACGTACAGCGCCGATACCGAGCAACCCCAGCGTAACTGGAGCATGATTAGTTTTAGTGTTGCATGTGCTCTATAATAGTTGCTGAAAAAGACAAGTGTATTGTTGTTGGCTTACCACCGGAAACCAATTTGCTGCATACCTTTTGGTTGTGCAGGAGGCTTCACTAATGCTTTTCAAAGATGTGCGGTTGTTTAATTGCACATCTGTTTGCAGCCATTTTCAGGTGTGAGAGCAAACATTGAGTTGGGGGGCCAAGGCCAGCAGCTGCTTATTTGGATTGGAAGAGACAAAAAACCCTAAAATATAGGCTGAACCAGACTAAAGTCTCATTACCTAAAAATGTTTTTGTGCAAAAAAATGTAATGAACATGTGTACTATCACCCATAAACTTATCCTAAGCTGTTCTAGGAAGAATGATACATTGATTGAGAAGTTTTGAACCAGGAAGCATCCAAATCAGTGGCCTCCAAATCCTCGAGAGTTTCTATCCTGTGATTCCTCCCTTCAGAGGCGCGGTAGGAAGCCCGGCTCAGAGGCGTTAAAGAAGGGAAGTGTCTTAAAGTAACAGGAGAGAAGATCTTCAGGACTGGAGAGTTGATTTTCTTCACCAGAATCAGGGTGTAAAAGAAAGACAAATTTTCCAACAAACAAAAACAAAAAGTCGAACCAGAACACATCAGTCAAATGTCCCGACCCAATTCTCATTTCTTTACATTTTCCTTCCTTGCTCTTCAGCAGCGGTTTCTCAGAGTCTTTCTTTGGACTTTGGCCGTTTTGTAAATGATTTCCTTTATGAACTATTTCACTGCAAAAACAAAATCTTACAGAATGTTTTTGGTCTAATTTCTAGAGCAAATATGTCAGTACATTTGAATTATATATATATATATATATATATATATATATATATATATATATATATATAGCTGACTGGATAGCTCAATACATAAGGCATCAGTATATCACCGAGAGGGCAGGGTTCGAATCCAGTCTGGGTCCTTAGGCAAGACCCTTCAAGCTACTGCCTACCTCATACCATGAGAGATACTAAGTCGCATAACATGCCGGCTCAGACGTCGCCCGGCCAAACAAGGTCTGCGTCAGGTGTTGGGGAACCAGAGCACCTTGATGACAAATGGGCTACTGGAACAAGACGGAAATGGGCGAGAGATGAAAATGTGGATCTGTTGGAATGCTACTACTCAAGTAACCCTAGTCAGAGGGGTTACATGCAAAGACTGGGGAAGGAATGGTCACTTCGACATCCCCAGTCAACACTAAGTGCTAAACAACTAGTAGCTCAGTGTTCCAACATCCGCAAACGGCAACTGCTATCACAACTTGAGATTGACGAGATACAACACAAATGCTACGGCAAAAGGGAGGAACCCGGATGTCAGAACTGTGGGGACTTAACTACAAGTCCCCACCCAGTGAGGGGATACACGGCCCCAATGAGCGAAACAGAGCTGAACGAGACAGCTGCTGACCTGAGAGAGAGAATCATGACCCGAATGACAACCAGGCCTCCTCGGCGCCAATTACAACGGCTGAGTGAAGTACCATCAGAAAGTCTCATTGAGAATGTGAATGCAGCATTGAGAACGATCCCTACCAACACCATAACAGAAACCAATGAGCTGATCTACAACTCAGCATCAGTGATCCTTGAGATACTTGGCTATAAGAGCAACCATGAGACCCAATACCCACCATGGAAAAGACGGTTAGAGGCTAAAATCAAGGTAACAAGGAGGGAAGTGAGCCAACTGTCAGAGCTCCACAAGGGTACAATGAAAAGACCAGTACCCAGAAAGTACAGCCAGATGCCCATACCTGAAGCACTCGAAACTGCCAAACAGAGGCTCCAAGCCTTGGCCAGCCGCCTAAAGAGATACACAAGGGAGAATGAATCCAGAAGGATTAACCGGCTCTTCTCCACTCAACCAGCTAAGGTGTACTCTCAATGGCAGGGTAATAACAACAGAGCAGACCCACCAAGGCTGAACAATACTGGAAAGGCATATGGGAAAGGGAGGCGTCCCACAACAGCAATGCACAGTGGCTGATCTCTCTACGAGAGGACCACAGCAACCTCCCTGAGCAAGCCCCGGTAACCATCACTGTGACAGATGTTCAAGAAAGACTCTCAGGCATGAAAAATTGGACAGGGCCTGACATGATCCATGCCTACTGGCTAAAGAAACTCACTGCTCTCCATGAGCGACTGGCAGCCCAAATGAACCAGCTGCTACAAAGTGGGACTCACCCTGAATGGTTAACTGAAGGGCGGACAATCCTAATCCAGAAGGATCCATCAAAGGGTCCAGTCCCACCCAACTACCGACCAATAACCTGCCTCTCCACAACCTGGAAGCTCATGTCAGGCATCATAGCGGCCAAGATAAGCAAACACATGGAAAAACACATGAGCACGGCACAGAAGGGTATCGGTGTAAATACCAGAGGAGCCAAACACCAACTCCTCATAGACCGCACAGTTGCCCGAGACTGCAAAACCCGACACATGGCTTGGATCGATTACAAGAAAGCCTATGACTCAATGCCGCATACTTGGATCATTGAATGCCTACAGATGTATAACATCAACAGGATTCTGAGAGCCTTCATTGCAAACTCGATGAAGCTGTGGAAAACCACCCTTGAAGCCAACTGCAAACCACTTGCACAAGTGTCCATCAAATGTGGTATATACCAAGGAGATGCTCTGTCCCCGCTACTGTTCTGCATAGGCCTGAACCCCCTCAGCCAAATTATCAACAAGACTGGCTACGGATACCGACTCAAAAATGGGGCCAAC